CAAATGCGGGCCAGTGATCTCTGATCTTCTCATATCTGCCCTTGAATTCTGGTGTCCCAGTACAACTCATCACAAACAGTGTTGTCACCTCTGAGACGTGTTTCCAACCAACTGCTGAAAGTCCTGATGTGTTCACATGTAATCCAGTCGTCGCACTGCTCCGGGTGTTTGGAGCGCAGACTGTTCTTGTGTTCATCGACATACGGGGTCACCAAGGTAGAGTTCTGTAGAACTGTGTAGTGTGCTTGAGACCAAGAATATCCGTCCCTGCATATTATTGAGTCTCTTCCAAGAGTGCCTTTTCCAGTCAGTCTCCCCTCATACCGCGATTTAGGGAGACCTATCTTGTTAAGGCCAGGAATGAAGTCAACACAAAACCCGATAACATCCTCTGTTTGATGGCCCATGGAGATGCTTCCTTCTGGCCTAGCGCGGTTACGGACATATTTCTTTAGGACTCCCATGAACCTCTCAAAGGGGAACATATTGTGTAGAAATACGGGCCCCAGGATGACAATCTCGTCGACTAAATGAACTAGGACGTGCGTCATGATATTGAAGAAGGATGGTGGGAACACCAGCTCGAAACTGGCAAGACATTGCGCCACATTACTCCTTAGCCTTGGTACAATTTCTGGATCAATCACCTTCTGAGAGATTGCATTGAGGAATGCACATAGCTTCACAATGGCTAATCGGACGTTTTCCTGTAGAAGCCCCCTCAATGCAATCGGAAGCAGTTGCGTCATAATCACGTGGCAGTCATGAGACTTTAGGTTCTGAAACTTTTTCTCTGGCATATTTATTATTCCCTTTATATTCGATGAGAAGCCAGTCGTGACCTTCATACTGAGCAGGCAATTAAAGAAGATTTCTTTCTCTTCTTTCGTAAGAGCGTAGCTGGCAGGACCTTTATACTGCTTCGGAGGCATGCCGTCTTTTTCGTGCAAACGTTGCAGGTCCTCCCGTGCCTCAGGTGTATCTTTTGTCTTCCCATACACGCCCAAGAAGCCTAGCAGGTTCACGCAAAGGTTCTTCGTCACGTACATCACGTTGATTGAGGAGCGGACCTCTAGGTCTTTCCAGTAGGGTAGGTCCCAAAATATAGATTTCTTCTTCCACATGGGTGCGTGTCCCTCAGCGTCATTCAGAACAGCTAGTCCACTGGGACGCTTTCCAAAGATTACGTAGTGTAAATCATTGACCATAGCAAGCACGTGATCACCGGTGCGCATGGCGGGCTTCTTCCGGTGATCTGCCTCGCATTTGAAATGCTTGCCTTTCTTTCGACATTGATGGTTGGTCGGAAGAAATCGATGATGGCCCAGGTACACATTCTTCCTGCATTTGTCCAAGTATATACTTTCAGTGTCATCTAAACAGTGCGTGCATGCGTGGTATCCTTTGTTTGTCTGTCCTGAAAGGTTACTGAGAGCGGGCCAATCGTTGATGGTCACGAACAGCAACGCCTTAAGGTTAAATTCCTCCTGTCTATGCTCATCCCACGTACGTACGCCGTTTCCATTCCAAAGCTGTAAAAGTTCTTCAACTAATGGCCTTAGGTACACATCAGTGTCGTTGTCGGGTTGCTTAGGGCCTTGGATGAGAACTGGCATCATAATGAACTTCCGCTTCATGCACATCCAAGGAGGAAGGTTATACATACATAGAGTCACGGTCTAGGTGCTGTGATTGCTGCTCTGCTCCCCGAAAGGATTAATGCCATCCGCGCTTAAAGCAAACCATACATTCCTTTGGTCCTTTGCAAACTCATCCCAGTACTTTCTCTCGATTTTTCTCCACTGCGACCCGTCAGCGGGTGCTCTCAACTTCCCATATTTCTTTCGGTTCTCACTGTGCCATCGCATCAACTTGGCATGCTCTTCGTTTTTGAACAGACGTTTCAACCGTGGTATTATAGGAGCATACCACATCACCTTCGCAGGAACCCTCTTCCTGGGGGGGCTCGCCGTCAACATCACCAGGGTCATCTCGTCTGATCTTATACCGCAATGCACCGCATACCGGGCATGCGTTCAGATCCTTGTATGCACCGCGGTAGAGGATGCAGTCATTAGGGCATGCATGTATCTTCTCCACCTCCAATCCTAGAGGGCATACGACCTTCTTTGTTGCGTATGTACTGTCGGGCAATTCGTTATCCTTTGGAAGCTTCTTCTTCAATATTTTCAGTAACTTCTCAAATCCTTTGTCAGCCACAGCATTCTCTGCCTTCCACTGCAGCAATTCAAGTACGGTACCGAGCTTTGTGTTGCCATCTTCGCAATTGGGGTATAACCCTTTTTTGTGATCCTCTAACATGCGATCGAACTTCAGCTTCTCCTTTTGACTAATGCATTGCGTCCTTGCATCGACAATGACCCGGCGGAGATCATCATCATCGGGCACATTGTCTGGTTCCTCTTGATCTTCAACAGCTTCACCTGTGGCAGCATCATTGGGCACATCGTCTGGTTCCTCTTGATCTTCACCAGCTCCCCCCGTTGCAGCATCACCGTATTCAGGGGGCACATAGTTGTCATCGTACTCTTCTTCTTCGCCGTCTTCCATCGTAACCCCTATTTCTCTGTGCCTCGTCCAAACATTATAGTGTGGCATGAAACCCTTGTAAAGCAGGTGGGAGTGAAGGATTTTCCGGTTAGAGTAAGACCTCGTATTCCCACATTCAGTGCATGGACAACACATAAAACCATTCTCTTGTTTGCCTCAGCCGCATCGAGAAACTCATGCACGCCCTTAATGTACTCGCGGGTGTGTCTGTCAACGTACATCCATTGCCGGTTCATCTGCGTGCATTATATATAATTAAGTGTCCAAATTAATAGAAGTTCATCATCACATTAAAACCAAAGTGCATACATAATTCTCATCTAACAACATACAGCTCTCGAGAGCATCTAATTAATTAAACCATACATTGAAACTATGTAAAACATTTCAATGCGAAAACAAATGCGATCATAATCGCAACCAAGGTAACAATTGATCCAACGGCATAATGATACCAAGCCTCGATATGAATGGCATATTTTCTAATCTTTCTAATCTTCAAGTGCATTGCATCCATCTTGATCTTGTGATCATCGACGACATCCGCAACATGCAACTCCAATATCATCTTCTCCTCCTTAATTTTTTTTATTTTTTCCTTCAACAAATTGTTTTCTTCTTCAACTAAATTTAACCTCTCGACAATAGGGTCGGTTGGCATTTCCGATTCACATACATCCTAGATAAATAAAATCTATGTCACGTTGGTCGGCATAATTTTCATAAACAATAAATGAACCAATAGTTATAAAGATAATATACATACCACATCCGAATCATAGACAGGACGAGGGCCGGCGGGGTCGGATACCAAAACCATCGCAGTATATAAGATGCAATAATAAATGTAAGAAAATGATACAAGTATCTATCTAAACATACAAGTAAGAATATTTCTCTTTTCAGAAAGAAGATAAGAACAAGAGGCTCACCACGGTGGTGTCGGTGATGAGATCGGCGCGGGTGATCGACGGCGGTGAAGATGGGGACGGGGCGTGACGGACCGCTAAATCTAGACAAATCTCGAGGAAAATGGAGCTTGGAGGTCGAGCTTCGAGAGGAGAAAGCTTAAGTAGTGTGGCTCGGGCATTCCATCGAACACCTCATGTGCATAGGAGGTGAGCTAGAGCACCACAAAGCCCTCTCCCCCTCGGCCAGAAAAAATAGAGCACTGTGCTCTGCTCTTGCGCGAGGGGGTATATATAGGCACCTCATTGGTCCCGGTTGGTGACATGTGCCGGGACTAAAGGGGAGTCTTTGGTCCCGGTTCAAGCCACCAACCGGGACCAATGGTGGTGGGCCAGGAGCGAGGCCCATTGGTCCCAGTTCATCCCACAAACCGGGACCAAAAGGTCCAGATGAACCGGGACCAATGGCCTACGTGGCCCGGCCGGCCCCCTGGGCTCACGAACCGGGACCAATGCCCACATTGGTCCCGGTTCTAGACCGTACCGGGACTAATGGGCTGACCCGGCCTGGACCATAGCCCTGTTTTCTACTAGTGACAAACGATGATGCCCACATGGCACTCAGATTCTAACAAATTTCTTTAGGATTCGTGAAAAAAAATCAACCACGTGGATCAAGGCATGTGGGCGATGTGCAAACATGCCATATTTATGGGCGTTATCATTTGGGTAAAAAAAGAGACAGGCCATGTTAAAATTGCTCCTTGTACAAACAAACCTACGGCCAAGATGGTTAAAAAATTGCTGCCAAGATGATCGTGCGTACGTACGTACGTGGTAAGATCCGTCGAAGAACGAGTCGCATGGTATCTTTCCGATCCCGTGGGCATGTCCGGCTCCATCCCTGCTGGCCTGAAGATGAGTTCCACCACCGCGTCCAGAACTCCGAGTCCAAAACAGAAAAAACCAACGCGAGAACGGAAGAAACAGGAAGCAACGGACGCGAGAACGCCAAACACGGCAAGCCCGCCAAACGGCCGGAAAACTTTGTGAGCGTTAACGACGAGCCAGCACGCTGGAGCCGTGCAGACGCGGGCAGCTGAGGCAGGGCTTGCCTGGTTCTGCTTCTTCTCCCCACTGCCAACCTACGTGTTCAGACCACGCCTTTCACAGGCCGGGTTGGCCGTCGCGTCCATGGCGTTTGGCTGCGTGTATATAAGCCGGCAGAGGCGCGGCAGGCAAAGGAATCGTCGTCTGCTGCTCTCCGGCCGCCGGGCGTGAGGAAGATCGGGTCGCCGTCGTGTCTGCTTTGGGTCCTTCGTTGCCTGGTATATATGACTATCCCTCTCCATTTCTTCCATCTCTTCACTGTTTGTCATTGTCTCTCGATTTTCCACGAGTTTATCGGTCGTGCCCGTTGTCGTCGTTGTTCATCCTTTCGATTGTGTATAGTTTGACGACCGTCCACCTGGATCCAAGATAAGTAAATCAATCTAAAACCTGTCGATCGAAGACGGTATTATGTCGGTCGAAGCTGAGGGCGCGGCGGGTGCGGAAACGAGGGTGCCCCGCGACTCGCTCTACGGGGACGCCGAGAAGGTCTCCGACGACAAGCACCACGGCTCCGGGGTCAGCACCTTAACTTAACTTGTGCCACGGCCGATGTTATTGGCCGGCTGCTGTCTGTGACTGACTGTATGTGGGCGGCGCATGCAGGATAGCTGGTGGCAGACGTTGCAGCTGGCGTTCCAGAGCATCGGCGTGGTGTACGGCGACGTGGGGACGTCGCCGCTGTACGTGTACTCGAGCACCTTCCCGGACGGCATCCGGCACCCGGACGACCTCCTCGGCGTCCTCTCGCTCATCCTCTACACCCTCGTCCTCCTGCCCATGCTCAAGTACGTCTTCATCGTCCTCTACGCCAACGACAACGGAGACGGTGAGCCACACACCCTTCTCTTCTATTATCTTGTGTGTTCGTTTGTTCATGGGCCGGCCCCCGCCGTGACATGACAGATGACCCTGATTGCTGCATTTCAGGAGGAACGTTCGCCCTCTACTCGCTGATCTCCCGGTACGCCAAGATACGCATGATCCCGAACCAGCAGGCAGAGGACGCGTCCGTGTCCAACTACAGCATCGAGGAGCCCAACTCGCAGATGCGGAGGGCGCAATGGGTGAAGCAGAGGCTCGAGTCCAGCAAGGCCGCCAAGATCGCGCTCTTCACCATCACCATCCTCGGCACCTCCATGGTCATGGGCGACGGCACCCTCACGCCTGCAATCTCTGGTACCTACGTTACATTGAACATGAGTAACATTATTGTTGATTTGAACGCTAATTAATCTGATGTTGATGGATGGATGTGTTCTTGCAGTGCTCTCTGCGGTGAGCGGGATCAGGGAGAAGGCGCCCAACTTGACCCAATGTAAGTATGTTGTCTCATTGTCGAGAGAATTTAGCGTGTCATCTTGTTCTGCAATGAATGTAGTATGTTGTGAAAACAGCAGAGGTGGTGTGGATCTCGGTGGCCATCTTGTTCCTGCTCTTCTCGGTGCAGCGCTTCGGGACGGACAAGGTCGGCTACTCCTTCGCGCCCATCATCTCGGTGTGGTTCATCTTCATCGCCGGCATCGGGGTGTACAACCTCGCCGCCCACGACGTGACCGTCCTCAGGGCCTTCAACCCCAAGTACATAGTAGACTACTTCGGGAGGAACGGCAAGGAGGCGTGGGTCTCGCTTGGGGGCGTCGTCCTCTGCATCACAGGCACGGAGGCCATGTTTGCTGACCTTGGCCATTTCAACATAAGGGCCATTCAGGTTCAGTTCTGTACTAGCAGTTCTTTTCTAAAAAAACACAGTACAAATGCAGACGCTCACATACAGAGCACGACTGAATTTTTCTTGATTCTCCGGCCTGTTGCAGCTGAGCTTCACCTTCATCCTCTTCCCCTCCGTCGCGTTGTGCTACATGGGTCAGGCATCTTACCTGCGCAAATTCCCGCAAGATGTCGGCGACACCTTCTACAAATCTATCCCAGGTAGGCACTACAACCTTCCTTTTACAGCAACAAGAAGATCAACTTGACACAATATTGGACTGCCAAAGACAAGTCTGCATGGTGTGAAACTGGAAAAAAAAATGTGTCAATAATTTTCAGCGGCGATGTTTTGGCCGACGTTCATCGTGGCAATCATGGCGGCCATCATCGCCAGCCAGGCCATGCTGTCCGGCGCGTTTGCCATCCTGTCCAAGGCACTCTCGCTGGGCTGCTTCCCGCGGGTGAGGGTGGTGCACACCTCCAAGAAGTACTCGGGGCAGGTGTACATCCCGGAGGTGAACTTCCTCATCGGCGCCGCCAGCATCGTCGTCACCCTCGCCTTCCAGACCACCACCAACATCGGCAACGCCTACGGGATATGCGTCGTGACCGTCTTCTCCATCACGACGCACCTCATGACGGTGGTGATGCTGCTCATCTGGAAGAAGAACATCGCCTTCGTCGTGGCCTTCTACGTCATCTTCGGGCTCGCCGAGTTCCTTTACCTATCGTCCATCCTCTCCAAGTTCGTCGAGGGAGGGTACCTTCCGTTCTGCTTCTCCCTGGTGCTCATGGCCCTCATGGCCACCTGGCACTACGTGTACGTCAAGCGCTACTGGTACGAGCTCGACCGCGTGGTGCCGGCGGCCGAGCTCACGGCGCTCCTGGCCCGCCGCAACGTGCGGAGGGTGCCTGGCGTGGGCCTGCTCTACTCGGAGCTCGTCCAGGGCATCCCTCCCGTGTTCCCATGCCTGGTTGACAAGATCCCATCGGTGCACGAGGTCTTCGTCTTCATGTCCATCAAGAACCTCCCCATCCCGCGGGTGGCGCCGCCCGAGCGCTTCATCTTCCGCAGGGTCGGCCCTGCCGAGCACCGCATGTTCCGATGCGTGGCACGGTACGGCTACACCGACCAGATCGAGGGCACCAAGGAGTTCTCGGCGTTCCTCATCGAGGGCCTCAAGCTGTTCGTCCACGATGAGGCGGCCTTCTCCTGCCAGCACACCGACGACGACAACAACAACAACAACAATAACAACAACAACGACAACGATGCTCGGCGGGTAGCGCAGGTGGCGGTTGCGGAGGAGGAGAAGAGGTTCATTGATGCAGAGGTGGAGCGTGGGGTGGTGTATCTGATGGGCGAGGCGGAGGTGGCGGCGGCGCCGGGGTCGTCGGCGTTGAAGAGGGTTGTGGTCAACTACGTGTACACCTTCTTGAGGAAGAACCTCAGCGAGAGCCACAAAGCACTCTCCATTCCCAAGGACCAGCTGCTCAAGGTCGGGATCACCTATGAGATATAGATCAGTTTGTATTCAGTGTTTCCCGAATGATTCTCGTGCAACACTGGCTTTGGTATGTGATGGTGTAGTTTTAGCAGATGGGATGGATTAGTATTCCCCGAATAATTCCCGTGAACACTTGCTTTGGTATGCAACATACACACGATGCCACCACGAAAACACTCGGCAAAGCCTTTCTCAACTACTCCCTCCGTCCGACTTGGGACAAACTTTTTTGGACGGAGAGAGTACTACATTTTGACCTTCGCCAGCCTTGCTGGTACTGGAACTGCAAGGTTTTTCCTGTAGTGTGCACGTTCTTCACCAGTTACTATGATGGAGTGCATGAGAGTTGATATGTGTCGCACTTGCACTGTTACCGTACCGTCACGGCACAATCGCAAACACCGTATAAATTTTTCGTCGAGACCTACAAGCCTGAACATAATGTTGGATTAAACAGATACTGCTATACCCAGCCAGTATGCTATTGGTTCTTGAGTCCTCTTATTCCCCCCTCAACGCACAGAATACAGGAGCTAAAACGCGCTGCATGAAGGGCGCCATCTTGCGGAAAATGCCAACGGAGGCTGAGCTCCAGGGAGCTCGGTATTTTTTAAAAGATCAAAAGTCATATTTCAAAGTTTCAAAAAAATTCCACGGTAACTTATATGATTTCCGCACGAACTTGTGTAAAAATTATTTGAATTTTTTGCGATTTGTAAGCTGTACAAAAAAACGAAATTTCGGCCCGACGATACAAAATATCGGCCCATTTTAGAAATACGTTTTTTTTTGTCTTTTTTCTATACGCTACGTGTGAAAGTATTTCGTTCTGAATTTTTGCACATATGTGTGAAATTATATACAAAATTTCGAATTTTTTTTCATGATGTGGAAATTCGTATTTTGAAATCGAGCTCCGTGGAGCTCGGCCTCCAAAAGCCCTCACTCACCATCTTGGGTTTTCTTCGGTGGGAACAAAGAGTTGTACTACGTGGGCCAGAACTATCTCCAGTTTCAGCCGTTTTTCTTCAGTAAGCGCCCATTATGTCCAGGTTTTTTATTCCTTTTTTTTATTTTGGTAAATATTTAAAAAATTCGCCTATTTAAAGATTAAAAGAATTGTGTCATGCATAAAAAATCAAGATATTTGAAATTGATCATGAGGTTTAAAAATTTATTAAACATTATTAAAAAATTAATGAGCTTTATAAATGTTTATAATTATATAAAATGTTCATTAATTTTAGAAATAATTTATAATTTGAAAATGTTCATAAAATTTTATAATATTCATGAATTTTAAGATGTTCATGAATTGAAAAATATTTAAAAAATATTTTCCCTTTAAATTTAGAAAATGTTCATGAACTTTAATAAAGTTGGTGAAATTCAAAAACACTCACAATTTTTCCTAGAATAAAGTACATTTTCACATTTAAAAATAATATCCAATAATTTAAAATGGCACTCTTATACAGTGTGTTCTATGATTCTATCATCTATGGAAAACTCCTGTAGACAAAAATCATGAGCATAGGGGGAGTAATCTTCCACCATAAAGATGAATTAGGTACCAGGTGTAAGCCAACAAGAAAGGAAGCTTCAAATTCCCAAATTTGACACTTCGATTTTGGTGGATTTGTAGATCAAATGTGATTCATGATTTGTAGATCAAATATTCTCAAACAACTTTGGAGGAAACCCTCTCAGTTTGCTAACTATCTCAATAAGCCATATACAACCTAAATAATGTTTTGCATGATAAAACAACAAAAATGGATTCCGAACGGTGAATAAGAGCTACATTTTTTTCACATTCACACTATGTAATATATATGTGTGTGTGTCTA